TTTTGTAATGAAATATTAGACGATAACATCTTTGAATACATATATATTATAGTAATAATAATGATTGGCAAAATATATATAATGACTGAAAATAAAAATTTTGTCTTTTTTAATTTTTAATTATTTGTTTTATTGTTTAAAAATTATTTAGGCTTTAAAGTTATTCTTTAAAAGGAAAATAACTTAAAAAAAGAGATTAATGCAACATTTTAAGTTAACAAATTTTAGGACTAAATACTGTTTCCTTTATTTATTTTATTTTCTCATATATTTTTTATTCTTTACAATCAAGAAAATATTATAACTTTAATTTTATAAAATGCATATATATCGTAAAGAAGAAATGATCGATAAACGTATTGATAAATAGAGCTTTTAAACACTATCTGATGTATATATTTATCTTATATTCCATTCGAATATATTCTGAAATCATAAAATTATGATTAAAAATATTTTATAATGATAAGCATATATGATCACTGATTCTGTTACATCTTATCATCTCTTATCATTTAGTTGTATAGCTCTTGTGATTCTTTCATTGACTCTATTATACTTCATCTAATAATTAGTTATCAACCCATTCCTTATCATCGAATTACAATATTATATTTTTTACTTTCTATGATTCAGATATATTCTTATGATTTTCAACTATCACTATGGAATATTTATTATTATATACTGATTAATTATCTCCTTTACCAATATTTTTTACTGTTATATATGTGTGTTATCATTTATATGATATCTTATCATTTATACGATATCTTATCATTTATATTATATACCAAAAAGTACTAAAATTTCGCATAGAAACATAACCGATGTTTATATTATTCATTTCTGCATTAAATTCAAAAAAGAAAAACAATGAATAAATAGAGTACTTGGGAAATTTTAAATTTCCACTTGAAATTCAAATCTTTGGCGCCTTTTTAATCCATGCAATGATTAGAGTCTATCTCAAAATTAGGAACAAATCCATTCCAAAAATCCAGATTTAACGGGAAAACTGCAACGGCCACGCCTCCGTGAATCCTAGCATTCATTGTGATTGAGATGTTAGTTCGGAAGCGGTTTAGGCTGCGAGCGGGTGTTAAGGCGGGAATCGCTTACTGGGGAGTGTTTGTTCGTTTTACGTGAAAATGACGCAGCAAATATATATTTAATCTGAAGTTTTGTACGTCAGGATCTAAGCAAACTGGCATGATTTTCGATTATTAATTAGCGAGTAACAACGTTCCTCTGCTACGAACACTATAGCATACTGCTTTCTGATGCATAATTACTATTATTTTTGTTCAATGATGATAAGTGATAAGAAGTGATGACAACACTGTAAGAGTTGTCATCACTTCTTATCAAGGGGCTTTAGATCTGTTATTAGCTTCTACCTTCATCACATCGGAAATATCAAATTTGCTCATATATGCATTGTGCAATGAGTTTCCTAATGATAACGTGACTATTCCTACTATGGGCATTTCGTATGCTCACTATTTCGTATCTGAATTTGAAACGCTTTCGACTATTCCAACGGATTGAATGTTAGCTGGCATGAAATGCCTCTTCATCGTACTAGGATATTTCGAAAATCTGTTCAGCTCATTTTTTGACATCATTCATTTACGGCATAAAAAGATCATCATCATCATCATCAGACCGTAAGAAATGACTTTACTACTCCTAATATCTGATATTATTTCTTTCTCCAGTAATCAACCATTACTTCCAGTCATAGGTAATTGACGACTGTCAAATATTACTTTCAATCTCAAGAAATCAAGTATTGCTTCCGATCTTAAATAATCAGCTGTTGATTTCGATCTCAGGTAATGAACCGTATTTTTTGATCTTCACTAAGCAGTCATTGCTTTCTACTACAAATATTTCCATCTATACCATGAACATTAACATTTCCTCACAGGACATAGTATTTTTCAGAAGCAAAAAATGGATACTGATAATTATGATGGCAGTTGTGATGATGAAGTAGTTGGTACGGACAAGGTACTTGAAGGGCGTCACACTAAGAGAAAGAAAATAAAAGAATATCTGCAGAAGCGGAAAGGATATAAAAGCATGAAAAATGCTTCGAAGCCAAAAGCTGATGTGGTAGCTTTCTCTTTTAATTCCAAACATCCTTAAGTATTCTTAAAATCTTTCAAATTATTTCTTAAAAGATGTGGCGAATAGAATAATAGGTTACTAATGGTTATCCGAATAATATCCCTTCCAATATGACATATCAATAAATCCATTATATTTCAGTCTGTTCGGCTGCATCGGAAGTATCTCATTTTTTAGTCCTTGTATTTTATGACAGCTGAATTTGATCTTTTGTTAATATTATAGCAATATTAATAGTAGTAAATTAATAGTCGTTATAGTTACTTTGGCTATTTTAAGTATTCGAAAATACTTTATTATTATGCGACTAATCGTTCTGCAGCTTAAGTTTTATTTCTCGTTAACAAGCATGGTTTGATGACACGTATCCTCCACTCCAAGCTATTCTTTCCAGATACTTAGACTGAAATAGGCTTGATAATTCATTTATACAGAAGTTATAGCTGTCATAAAAGAGATTCTGATTATTCACAGTAATTTTTAAAGGTATATTTGGAATTGTATCAATTTCAGAAATACAATGCGGTAGCTTGGGACTACGGTGTTCAAAAAAAGTGAGTTTTCTGCTAGATTATTTATAAACTTGCTTAATGATTAAGAAGTAAAGGGTTCTGCTTTATTTGGGTCCGTAGTTAAATTTAAAACAAAGAAGCAGAATATGGGGAATATTTTTTAGTGAGGGCAAAAAATTCTAAAATTTAAATGTGGAAGAAGAGATGTCATACTGAATTACTTTTTTACTGATTACTTTTGCGTCCTTTTTTAAATTATTTGCTTATCGTATAAGTGGTAAATTTTTTTCCACATTCCGGAAGATTTATATTAATTTGTGAGAAGCAAAACGTTATTTCATGAAGCACTGATGATCTGCATTAATCACTATTAGCAGTAAAATAGAACTACGAAAATTTACTGAAGATTTTTCTCACATTGTTGTTCATTATCAAACAATTTTACTAGTTTTATTTTACAGTATCACCATTATAATGAAAATGTTTCAATTTATTGTCACGTCAAATGGTCATTGCAGGAAAAAGCACTACAAGAAAAATTCGAAGTCACGTCGATCGCAGTCAGAAGCATGTGGTTCAGGTCGTGCTGGCATGGTTTCGTTTCATAGCAGTACTGTTGCTTTCAAGGGTGGAGATGAACCTGGTCGTCGCCAAACCAATGAAGCTGAAAAATCCACTGTTGCGAAAGGAGAGATGGATAAAAGCGGCTCTGATACTTTAAACGGAAGTGACTATGGAGATGACAGCTGGCTTACAAGTTTGTTGTTTATTCGCTTTCGGTTGTATTAGATATTGCTATATTTCATTCGGTTTCGGTATCTTCAGTAAAACACCGTGCAGCAAATGTAAAATCGCTCGTTGCAAGAAAGTTTAGTTTTTCGTTGATAATTGCGGATAGCCGGTGTAGTAGAGCTAATTTTTGTCTTATCTTTCAGCACTTACATCGTCAGATGAGAATGAAATAGAGAAGCAATGGTCTCCGGAATCACCCCCACCAACTCTCGTAAGAATTTTGTATTTTCGAAGTTCTTAATAGAAAACAAATAAAAAATAGAGATTGTAAATGGAATAATATAAATAATTTTGATTGAAAATTTCTAGTAATTATTGTTTAATAATCTTTCACTGCTCATTTACGCTTTTCTATAACCATACAGACAGAATCAAAGCATGGATGTTAGAAATAAAGTACATTAATTTGATGAATTAATTCAAATAGTTCATTCATTGTGGCCAAACTACAATGACTTCCCTCTCACTCATGTTGTCAAATATCGACATAAAACGAAGTCGAGAGAGTGTTGAGTTCGATTTGTAAGACCTATTGGCCTAATGTGAGCTGCATTCCCATTCATATTCTTTAATATGAGCAAACTCATCATAAAAATTTGAATACATTTCCAAAATACACGAGTAATGCAAAAATTCCTCAGCAACAAAAATGGCAAACCACAAATTCTTAATGTCGTGTCTCGTGTCTCGCTCAATGAATTCTTGCATGAAGCAAGCAAAAAAAGCTAATGGTTGAGATAATCAAGATAACCAATATCAAATTTTGAAAACATTGAAGTTTGGAGAGAATTCAGTCATAAGTTAACAAGTCATTTTTTCCAGGTGATGACTGATTTGTATGAGCATGATTACGATGACGAGAGCGAGATATCGGATAAAAACGAGCCTGAAGAGAGCGAGATATCGGATAAAAACAAGCCTGAAGAGAACGAGATATCGGATAAAAACTAGCTTGGATTTCGGCATTTTTAAACAGCCAATGAAAATTGAAAGAATCTAATTTTCCAGAAAGAATCTTTTAAAATTTTACTGTCCTCATTTATTCATTTTTCTTCTTTCATTTTAATCGCCTTTTATATAGCTCCCAAAATTCAAAAAATGAATCCGCGAAGTCTTACGGTGTCTCAAATTATTCGTGTTTCCTGATTTCAATTCTCCGTTGTTACCGGTTACTCTACTTTTTTCCACGATCTTTCTGTGTATAAGAGAAATAAAGTTCTGTTGTTTTTTAAATTGTCTTTTCTACTGTAAATACTGAATGTTAAAAAAAGATTTATTCACCCTAGTGTTTTGAGGAACCGATAACTTAACTATCTGGTGTGCGGAAACAATGGTAATTCGGAATCTCAACTGTACAGCTGACATAAAAGTGTTTCAATACGACGTATGGGCATTATTAATTAAGCTAATTGATAGAAGAAGACGTAATGTTTGAAAGAAAGAAAAAACATTTCAAGTCACTCAAAAAAAGGACAAAAACAAACTGCATGTATGCAGAATTAATGGAATTCTAACAAATTCATATGCATTCGAAATACGAAATACGAAAACTTAATTATTCGAAGTAAAGTATAACAGTATCTATTTTATTTTTTCAAATAAACAAAATGAAATTCTTAAAGCAAAAAATTTGAATGATTGCCAAGATTTCATTACCAATGTATCAAAAATTTCTATAGGGATCTTCTGTTTTTGGAAGACTAATTAAATAATGGTCATGTTTTTCCTTCTCAATATATACACGTACGAGGATATGTTATGTTTCAGGAATATTTCAATTTTTATCCTGTTTGACTACGATTGCCAACAAGAACTGAAATAGCTAACAACGATATAAGCGTTGATATACCACAAAGTTCGTAGAGATAGTAAATATTATTACTTCCAACATCTTTGAAGCAAACAATTTACTGCTTTCAATTTATTTGTAGACGAATTCTGATCAGAAGATGAAGTATTCAACGGTAATTTTTTATTATGAAATTTAAAATGAACAACGAGTAAATAAACAGGGAAATTTCCTGCTTATTTTCATTCTACTCAAATAACAAAATATAATAAATTAATTGAAGATGCTATTAAATGTTATAAAATTAAAATTTAAAAAGTGATAAATGTTTATGCAAATGATATGGAAAATGATACAAAGAGTGTGATACAATGTTTTCGCCATTATTTCCTTTATCGTTCAATGCTTCTTCAAATTTAATGAAATTATCATCTTTGGAAAGATTATCATGGGAGTAAATTAGTATTATCATGGGTATAAATTAGTATTACCATGGGAATAAATTACTCATTATCATTACCTATCCAATATGAGGGAAGAAATATTCGAAGTTTTTCAAATTCAAGCATACAGTGGTTAGCTTGGAAGTTTTGAATTACCAAAGAATTTTGTAATTGTAGGAGAGAGAACTGATTCCCAAGTAATTAAGCTAACTTATGATTAAACTACTTTGTCAAGTTCAGAAACTTAAAAATAGAGATTTTCCCGATTTTCCTTCCTCGATTTTCCATATGATTATATGATTTTGATCCACTATCATCATTCTATTACGATAAAATGATATAAACCATCTTCGGAAACAATGGATGACTTTTTGGAAGTGGCATGCAATAAATTTCGCCATCAAATACATTTCGTAAAGTTTTCGAATTGACAGGTTTTTTTAACTTTTCACTTTTTTTATTTGTTTACATATCATAGTTATAGCGATTAGCATCGATTGAAATTTGAAAATTTTTATGAATATGAAATTTATGAGCAATTTCCGATACATGAAATTTGAAAATCTTTATGATTATGAAATTTATGAATAATTTAATCAAACAATACAAAATTTATCAAAAAAATTTCTAAAAAAAACCATGCAAGGAGAGAATTTTGATTATGTATCGTTGAAGATTTAGAATGATGCGGAAAATATGGTGGCATTGGTTGAAGTTTTGGTTGTATCGGAAATAATGTTCGTTTTGACGTAATCTAGAACTATGAATTATGGAAAATTATATTACTTGTCGCAGATACTCTTCAATAATAATTATTAAATGATAAAAGTAACCTTTCTTATTGATAATATCTCTATAAAGTATGGTATCATATTTGTGCCAATTTCAAACACAGAAAATTCTCATGTTAATATTGATATTAAAGCAGATTGAATGAGATCATTTGTAGGATTTGTGAAATGTTTGATAATAATCCCTATTTTTTTTAATCCTTCTTTGATTAATTTCTATTTTTGGAAGTATTTCATGAGTATCTTGGGAAATATTAGTAAATCACATCTCTAATCATCCTTCCATGGTTATAAAAGTTGTTGGAAATTTGAAGAGTATATTATTATATTTGAAAATCACATTATTGCCGTTTCTATTATGACATGCTAGTTATTCTACTTTTTTTAAATTAAATAGTAATTTAAGTTCATTCATAATTGTTTGATGAAAAAGAAACCTACATAAAAGAATAACCCGGCAATAGGTTTACCGAGAGCATAACCAGTTGCTGAATTGCTGATGAAGTAAGAGATGTGATCAATGAAGCGCATTACATCAACGGTAACATTCACGTGGTCGCTTAGAGGAATCTCGGTCTTATATACGATTACAACATATTGCTGCCGATCTGTGCACGGAAGTTTTCCAATTTCATTAGAATAAGGAAAAGCTTTTAACTCGGAGTTTTTAATCTTGCTTCAATATTTTTACCCTATAGTCCTAAAATTCCTTAAAAAAAATAAGTAAAATTTGCTGAAAATATGGGTTGTTAAATATGGAAAGACAATCGGATCAACTTTTTATAAGGCAATAAGGCTTACAAGTATCTTGTTGAGAAACGGTTCCATTACTGATATATCCGAAAAAATGATGTTTTGAATCAGTGATATTTTCAATATTTACTGAAGCGGAACCTGTTGATGGTAAATCGTAATCAATGAACAATGCAGATGGTCGTTTAGTTATATCTAAAGCATACATTTTGGTAATGGCTCAATAAAAGTGAAATTACACAAAATACACAAAATAATTGAATTATTACCAATAAATGAGACCACATGAAGATATCCACCAACAGTTGGAGTTATTGATTGAAATTTGAAAGCTCGTATATTAGCAGTTATATAATTAGGAAAATTGAGCACTTGTATTTCATCACCCAAATGAATAATTGGTGAGAGATATTTCGCATCGAAATTACTTATATTTACCTATTAATCATTATTAGATTTATATAATTATCAATGATTTTCATATTATTTTCTGAATGATTTATAGTCATAAAAGATTCTTCTTTTACTACTGTGATTGCTAGCAGTCTTCTTTCACTACTGATTGCTGGTAGTTTTAATTGAAATGACTTACAATTAAAACTACTATATTAGATGAATAATAATATGGAAAAATGCCTCGATAAATTTTTTGTATTTAAACTAACATAATCGAGTGCGGATGATGGAAATTGTGGGAATATCTGAGGTGAAAGTTCCAACTCTTCAAACCCTGCAAGGATTCATTATTTTCTGATGTTTAAGATTTAAAAGAAAATATAATTGGAATGAATTATGGTTTCACTCCAAATTGCTATATTTATTGGATGTTATTCAACTTCAAAATTAGGAAAATCGTACAACTTCCAATCGTCATGTTATTAGCTTCACAACACAGATGAATTATTTCATTGGTTATAGCACCATATCTGGATAAACGACTACGTCGACAGGCAAAATTTTTTGGACATTGATTTCGATCATTTGGATCACATGGTTTCAGATCCAAATACATCATATTATCTGGACAGATATATTCTTGAGAAAATACATCTACAAATTTGCATTTAATCAATAAAGCATTATTAATTAATTTAGCTAATAATAATATTGGACGGAAAATATATAAAACAACTGTATATTGTTATCTTAAGTGTACCAGTGATATCTGATATTTAAGTCTCACGACAAAATGTAAACGAATATTGCATAAAAGTATAGAAGCTGAACCAGTCACCATACTTTAGCATTGGCATCAAAACTACAATGCAATATCTATCCTAGAAGACACAAGCATATTCATTATTAATTGATAAAGTTTGGAAGTTCTGAATTGTTGAAATATAAATTATCAGCTAAACTAAATAACTTTTCTTTTAATGGTTTTTCTTTCTTTTAAGGAGACTAATATAATCATTCGATAATCTGATGAAATGTATTAAATGAAATGATAATATAGTCTGATGATTTCGATTGTGGGCTTTAATCAAAAAATCGTTAATTGAAGCGTACTTGACAAAATTGATTGGCAAATGATACTAGCAAGCATGTACGGCAACATAACCTAAAATGAAAAATGAATTTGACCTTTTAAAGATAATTTATAAATGAAAATAAGGCAATAGGCACCACTATATTTTTTTGCCAAAGATTATTCGATTGTTCAACACTGCTATGCTTGTTTCATTCACCCATTCTGTACAATTTTATGATAACTGCAGAAATAAGGTCATCGAGACCCATTGCAGGAAACAGTGGATGCTTGGAAAATTTTTGGGCAAACATCATAACTGAAGTAAACTGTAACTCTAACTATTTAACTCCGGAATATTTAGCGAATTCCAAGTCTTTAGTTGCTGAATGGTCATTGGATAGCGTGTTTTTCATCCTTCATGAATAGGCAACAAATTAAACTCTGAAACCGTAGGATATCGAATGTCACCGAGACAATTCTTCCTCGAAGCATTATTGCATTGGCTTCCTAACATAAAGTTTATAGGAACTCCAAAGTCAAGAAAGAATTCATTTCTGGAAAACAATATTTCGATCACCATACCTAAAACTAAAAACAATATGGAATGCATGTTCTCCTATAGCACAGGACGCTAACTGATGCTACACTTAGCACCGGGCAACATGCAAATTCTCCACCTATTATTACTGCGGATTATTTGATAATATTTGCTCAGCTGTCGTAGCACGAGAACACACCACCATATATTCATCCGACTTATCTCACTGATCATTCAATAAACAAAATGAATTTTTTGGCCGAACAAGTGAATAAGTTCTGCGAATATGTCATCCAAAATGATAAACCTGTGCAATAAAACAACTGTGGTGAGTAATTTATTTAACTTATTAGAAACAACTATTGAGCAGAAAAAGAAAAGCATCACTGCATATGTAAAACAATGTAGACTTTTGAATGAATCTCCAGGTGAGACCATAAACCAGGTTATTTCAAAAAAACTAAATTGCGGACAGTCAACTTAGTCCTATATATTCCCCCTATATTCCTATATAGTCCTATAAACACTTGTAACAAAGGAAAAAAATGAAATAAAACCCTACTATGCCTTACGTACAAGTTGAGTCGCAATAAATACAATTTTAAAAAACACGTGTACATCAAATGGAATGGAAAAAAATCGCATAAATATGACTTTTAAAACAGATAAAATGGCTAAACAAAGACTATGGTATGTTTACAAGGATGATAGAACAAAGATATTTCATCCATTAAAGTTACTAAAACCTGATTTGGTAATGATCAGGACAGTAAAGTTCATTTCTTCTAGACGAACTGGCATGAAAAAATTGTGAGTAGTTATGTAAGTTAGTAAAATAAGCAGACACCTACTGCACACGTCAAAATTTTCAGACCAGAAACTCAATACATGAACAATTTAACGACTTTTCACGAAGTCACTGATTGGCAAGAGCTCGCAGTTGGCGAAGAATTGTATCCAGAAGTTTTTTACGATCCTTCTCACGACCTTTGGCGAAAAAACTTGATGATTTGCGTTCGAATTCAATTAGCCTAAAATCTGAAACGTGATACAACAGATCTCGCAACACTAAAACTAAAAAGATGTCTTCGTAATGCTGCCAATTGGGAACTTATGCAACAACAAATGACGGCGTTTAAAAAACTGAAACATTACTTAACACATACTTCTCCAATAAAACAATCGCATGAGAGGCTTTAACCCTTGAATACTTGCTTTCTTCTTTTCCGTAATCAGCCAAATAAGTTGACCAATCAGCCTTCATAACTAAATCAAGAAGTTGTCTCAAACTGGCAAAAGTCATCGCAAGAGTTCCGTCCTGAAATAAACTAGATCAAGAGCTACCCACAAATAACAAGGCCAAAAAAGCTGGAACATACTTCCAATCCTGCAACAGGGCACTGAGAAGCAAATAATTCGCATTGTATCACATCCAAATCGAACTGATCTAGTGCACCAGTACTTACAGATTTCAAATCTGTATTCAGAAGCAACTCTGTTAATCGATTTGCCAAATATTTACAAGTCTAAAATGCAACTCATTTAATTTTACTGCAAATTATTTATATATATAAAATTCATTTGTGTAAATTGCTTTTTTGCTTGAGAATACTAAACTGTGATTATTCCGTTCCTTTTTGTGTTCAAAAAAAAGATAATAATAATAAAAAATAAAAATTTGACCTGATTATACCAGTTAGAAAAAAGAAAATGAGAACATGAAAAGATGAAAGGATCCGATTCTTAGTATTTGACAGGAAGCATGATAGTTTTTATTTTACGAAGTCATAAAAATGCTTACCTGCATACAAACATGTCTTGCCAAAAGGCTCGGCAAATTGCTGAATGAAACGAAAGTTGTTTCCAAAAATTTAATCAAATCTGTAATGTAGTCACTCGCCCGACCACTTGAACCTGACAGTTCCCAATCGTAGTTAGCTAAAATTTTATTGGGTTCACAGAATCATTTAACTGAATTTCAAAAAATAACAATTCCAATTTAAGCTGGAAAAACAAGTCGGAAGTAAAACTAACCAAGATCAAGAAAAGCATCCACTTTGTCACGAAGTGCGTCATCAATCTGTTGCTCCACTTCGGAACGCGCATCTCTAAAAAGCATTAATTCAAAAATGAATTCATGTCCACCTTTTGCACTTCCTTTCGTTTTTTTCCTTGAGACTTGATAAAGGAACAAACCTAAAAACCTGATCCTTTAACGTAACTAAATGTCCTGTTGTGCCACCAGAACTGTTACTTGCGTTTGTTAATTTACTGATATAATGCTCCAGCGACTCGCACGTCTTCTCCAGATAACCGATATTAATTGTAATTTGAACAAGCTAGAAAATAATGTCAAATAAAACAAATGATTTGAAAAATTTTCAATTTATCTTTTATATAAAATAATATCATATGTCGGTCTTTTTACCTGTATGAGAGTTCGCTTTTTGTTAGCTACAAAACTTTTCAAAGAACCTGACCACCGTGCAAGAAGTACATTTGCATAACGGCGCACTGTGTCATCAACCTAGAAAAAAGAATAAAATGATAATGCTTTTTGGATGACATTAATAGGATTAACCACACTTAACGTATGTAAATGTAATAAAATTTTTCCATGGAATTTTGAAACTTCTAATGGTAATGACAAGATAAACTAGAGCGGTAGGATATTTCATGGCCTAAAGGCTACCGATAACGACTGGTGTGAAAAAAATTTCAGGAAAAAACAATTCAAGCAGACCTCAGTGGGAGAGAGCTGTAAGTGCTCCATAAATTTCAAGCATCCAACAAGATAATTCTTCGCTTGACCATATACTGCTGGTACGAACTTGGAAAACGGAAACACCCGAGGATAAGGCTCCTGGAAAATGTCGAAAACATTTCAATAAAAGGAGTTTAATGAAATTACTATAAGTAATGAATAATTAGAGATATCAACATATACCTGATCCATTCCTCTTCGGTAGAAGGGGAACTGTGTCACTACTGCCTTGAATGCTTCTTCATCTTTTGCTGTGATTGGCGTATAATTGTCACTTTCAAGGTCCCGTTCGAATTGGGCACAATATTCTCGCATCAAAATTTCGTTATACTGATCTCTAAATTTATACAAGATTTACTCCACTGACGAAAGGAAAAAAAAGAATCTAATCAACTTTCACTCCCTTGCATTTCCAGAGAAAACCCAGTTTAGCGAAATAATAAAAATACCTGAAATTTTGAAGCAGGGTGTAAAGAGAACCAATTCCAAATCCATAACTTTTCATTGTCATCGCAAACAACAAAATTACTTTCTTCATTTTCAACATCATCTCAACATCCAAACAGCCTCCCTATAGCAAAAATTCTTACTTTTCTCATTACCAAAATGAATCACTTAACTATGATGTACATCGAGATGCACAAATCACTTATAATAAGGCTAGTATACTACTATTAGAAACTTACAAAATGAGCATTCATGGTGGTTGTAACTTGATGTAATGCCATCTCCCAAAGCTGATCCCTATAAGAAGCCGTTACCAGACTAGATTCGGTTTGCATAATATGATCTTCGACTACGAAAAAGCCAATAATTTCATCCAAATACTTGACGTAAGAATGTATTGATTCTTGCTAAAGTTAAGAATATTATTACTTGGGAAACCAAAATTCAGCTGATAGTAATCAGTGAGACAAAAATGATATGCAACTTGTTTAAGCCACTAAGTGGTACATTCGTTTTTGATAGAGGACGATCTCTCAAAGCCGCTCCCTACCAATTTGTCTGGCGGTCGAATAACAACCACTGCTTGCTCCTTCCGTTGCTTTCTATAGTAGGCCTCGAAAGTCTCTTTTTCACCCTGAAATACGACCGTTCGCATAAATAACTGGAGCGACATACAAATGGAAAAATAAAAGTAAACAAATATTTAAGAGTTACAAACAGACGAGTGCAGATAATGTATGCGTGGATCTCATACCGCAGAAAAAAACACTACTTACAATGACATTGAAGATTTGACAGCAACGATGAATAGGTGTGAAATCTATAAGATCTTGAGCACTAAGTAATTCATCCTCTTCAAGAACAGGTAGTTGCACCGTTTTTTGTTGTCCCTTGTCATTTTTCTTGACAACTGAACCATCCGATGAAAGCACTAAAGTTTTCGGAAAAGGAATATCACGCTTGAAGTAGATTGATTGGACTGATTAAATGTAATGGTCTTATATAACTCAACGATAGATTACCAATCCGGTGTTATTTCTTAATTTAACTAAAATCCCAATAACTACTCTTGCATTCTTATAGTAATTCGATTTAAATTAAAAATACTTTTTTAACTGAACTCTATACTTGAAAAATTTAGTACGCATGGCAGGAAAAATTAAGAATTTACCGATATCACCATTTACAGCATTCTTCTTCGCCTCTTCCTGTAGACGTTTCACACGTTCAGCTTCTGTCATCCCAAAAGAGTGTTGTTCAGCAGTACATTTTGAAGCATGCTGCCCAATACGTCCTGAAAATGATCCTGCATGACAAAATTTATAGGTAACTCAGTCCGTTTCATAAACTGATAACATAAAAACAACAGTAAGATCAAACGAAAAATTCACGCTCTTATCTCTCAAAAAGAACTAACCGGAAACTTTCCGGATATCTTCCAGAAAATCCGTAAACTCAGAAAACGATTTTTCCTTGATTTGTTCACGAATTGGAAGTAATGATTTTTTCAATGTTTGTGTAAAACGATAGTTATCAACATGAATCATGTAGGTATGTTCCAATTCTTCCAATACTTTCAATGCTTGATAAAACCTGCAAAACATCGTATTGCTCAACACTCATAATCATCAGCTGAACTAAAATACAAAGACAAAAGCTTTACTTCTTTTTTTATTAATTTGCATATGATTGTTACCATAAACATAAGAAAAAAATAACTATTAAGAAAAAACAAAGCAACGATTAAATACAATTAAAAAAAAATAATAACTTTTACTTCTTCTGCTGCATATGCTCATTTAGTTTCGCATAATTTTCAAGCACGGGTAAGCACAGTGAAATGTGATCGATAGCTGTGTTTGCATTCCTTTGCAGTTTTCTATAACGCACAATTTCCGCACCACGTTTTCGTAACTCTTTGCTACTTTCTTGGATATTGTGATCTACTGCGTTAACTTCATCCTGGAAAATCTTCCATCCACAACCAATTTACAGTATTCTCACGCACAAGTATGGCAACTTACATACTGATATTTAAGACGAAAAAAGGAGTAAAACTTCCGACAATTCTTAAAATATCACAAACTAGGTGAAATAAAATATACCTTGATTTCCAAACTTCGCGTCTTTAATTGCAACAATTGTTTCATTGCATCAACATACCCTTGATAATGATACGAACAAATTCTCTGGATGCTTTTATCATAATGATGTATACGATGCTCTAGAGCACGTGCGAATTTGTGAACATCGCCGCAATCATAGATTGCTCTAAACAATTAAGATGCTCGAAAATCGAAAAACAAATTTTAAATGAGTAACGAAAAAAAATAATTCGGAATGCATATTTACCCGTAATACAGGGAGTGATGCCACACTTAGCACTCGCAGCATATAAACTCTGCACCTTTATTACTGCGGATTATTTGATATTTGCTCAACTGTCCGTACCATCAGGACAAACCACCGCATGTTTCAAAAGGCTATATGTTTTTTATGTTTTCGATAAATTAGCAGCTAACCTTAGCACCAAACCAACACTACCCGAATCGGTCGTTTCAAGTTCGTACAAGAAAAACTTTTGTTCAGCACTCATTTCCGGATCTAAAACATCATAAATGTAGATTTCTGGACAAAGCTCATCATCACTTATACCCAAATTGGACTTAAGTTGAACAAAAATTGGATCAAATGGCATACACTGTTGGTATGAAGTGGAAGCAGTATCGCTACTTCCAGTTCCCGTTTCTTTCGAGGCACTAGCCGCCGATAAACCATCCATGTCCAATTTCTGCATGAATATGTAATAAATAACGTATACAGAAAAACATAAGGAAAAAAACTATGGAATATATAAAACAAGATGTAAAATTACGACACCAATAAGTAAGACGCATACTACATTTGTCTAAAAAGATTGGAAATAGAATGAATTTAGTACAAAATAATTCAATTTTTTATTGGTTGAACTAAGTATAAATTCAATTTTGGTATTTCAAAAATAAACAGTCAATGAACCTTCATCGTTCCTAATGTTTTCAGTTAATAGCTTGTTCGTCCAATTTATACCGGTAGTTAAGAAACATTCTGAAAGCAACGAATTGCGAGAAATATAATACATTCCACTTCATGTTATGTCGATGTGTTATCAAGAATAAATAATCCATTTATGAAAAGCATAAAAAGAATATGTAAAGGTCAGCACTTGCAAAACGTACAATAGAGCAGGGTAAGATTCATGAAAGATATGTAAAGCAAAAACGTATAGAACAATTCAAACATAAAATAACACTGAAAGAAAACCAAAAGCATGTAGGAACGATTTTCAAGAAAGAGATATCTTTTGCTAACCACCAAAAAAAAGCAAATAAAAACTGAAACGCGTAACCATGCAATTTTAATACTAAAGCTATCGTATAACTACCTGCTTCTGCTGATCCAGTCTGTCAGAAGTCTGGAACCATTTCAAGCAAAAAATCCAGTACTCATACCAGTATGGGACAAATATGACCGGAAAGACGGACCACTGTGCTGAATTAAGCTCTTCCTTAGTGCAGCCGATGGCCACCGCTGCAGGAACGCTACGCTAACCAGTTTCCCTGTGATGTTTTCTTCTGATTTTGGGAGAGTCGATCTGCGACTCCCGGAAATGCAGGTATTTCAAACTTTTTCAACCAATAAGAACGAAACTTCGGCTGCGATAGCAATTAAATACGCGGTCCGTTATTTCGGTTGAAAAAGAGAAAGACTACATGGACATCGTTGGCCTCTATGCAGTTCTTTTTCAGAAAAGTTGAGAACTGGAAGGAATATAACAATATATCCAGAACATGTCTTCCCGTAGAAGGAATATTTAAGATGCATTCAGACATGTCATATGAAGTTTTCATTCAACTTTATTACAAGAAATGTTTCAACACTGCATCGGGCAATATTTTCACAATACGAATCAAGTTTACACCACTTTTTCAATTATGTATTAACCACAACGCATTTTTTCATTGCATTAATATAAACATTGAAGGCTGTATAAAACTGCATGTAACCAGTTCAGGAAAAAATTTCATTTAACAGTTATTTAATCGCTTGCTATGATTTTCTTACAACTACTTTTACAACTATGGATAATTGTATTATCGGCTGGTACCATCACCTTACCATTTTAATTATCAACCAAAATCAGGCTGAGATCGCTACTTTCGTCGTCGCCTCTGCGATCTGCTTTCAGGTGCTCTGATATTCTAAAATTAACAAGAATAAACAAACATAAGGGTGAGATGAAGTTGCAAAAGCAATATATCACCAAATTCTTTGGAGAAGTGTCGTGTAATTTTGGACTTTGTCATCTCATGAATGGGTGGTAATCTAAACAGCATGCCTTCAAAATCCGGAAATGTTAAACATGTACCGCAGCTGCTCGTATGTTAACCAAAAGACCAATGACCAGGGTGCCTGAATTGATTCAAATATTTAAAAATTTAATTGAAAAAATTTAACAACTAACCCACATGTCCCATTTTCCAATAGATTTCATAAAATAAGTCTTATCATTTGTATTGATGCGTCCTATAACTGATTTTTTGATTATAAAATAACTTACCGATCGCACATATGATGGCACGAAGCCTTTGTACAATGCAAAAAAGCCTTCATCCCGACAAATCTGTTTTAGACAATCGTAAGATCCCTTGTATTGATGCGTTCTATAACTGATTGCTTACAGTGATAATATTGTTACAAAAGAGAAAAAACCGGGAAAAAAAAGCAAGAATTTATCTAGTACTTTATTTGAAAAAAACCAAAACTTACGATTTTTCACCAGTACCGCGTGACTGAGTCATTATTCGTGTTTTTACAACATCCGCTGGAGTAGATATGATCGCAGCAGCCATCCCCGAAACAAGACTGGCAATAAAATGTGTATAATAATTATCCCGGTAACCCTTCGCTATCAACCAATGCTTCGTATGATCGTATGTCGCAAGATCTGTAGGTTCTTCTTTCAAACAAAAATTAAAACTTGTACTCGAGATCAAAATACTCAACTGCGTGTTTTAGGTATATTCTGTGAGACAAGCAGTTGGCCTAAATTATTACCTACAACTTGAAACATATCAATTTGGCTTTCAAAATAACAACTTGCATGCACTCACCAGCCATATTCAATAAAGCTGCGCGTTGAGTGTTTGGAAGCCAACCACTCCACAGACCAGTGAAACCGTTACTCGTGTAAAGAGCAACAAAAACATGATATGAATTCCGAAATCTGAAACCAACTGCAATCAAAATTAACGAAAACAATATACAGAACAAGTTTGAAGAAATTCAGAAACTTTGAACATTTTATACCATAAAATTGATAACCGAGGTTGGAAATTGTCCGACTTCCTAAGTCTCCTTGCTTGCATTTGAACTTTGACTAAATCCATTGGTGATGCCAGAAATTGCGCAATAGCACCAGATACTAAACCGCAAACTGCCGATTGCCTTTAAAAAACAACACATTTCTCCAAGAAATTGATTAATATTTGTAAAACCAATCGCAGTAAAACAAATGCACGACAAAGTTAAAAATTATCATACCATATTGAGAAAATTTTCTGTTTCTCCCGATCAAAAATTGCGAACCGCATTGTTTCATAAATACCCATTCGAAATCCTGTGTAAACTGCAATCACGCATATACTTATTAATTAATTTTCCGAACCAAGTACAAATAAGCTTGGTTTGTTGATCAGCACAAAACAACCAGCTCATTAGTAGCTCATTGGTGATTTGCCTTCATAAAAACTTACTGAAATGCCGATATACTGCTGGAGTAAGTCCACTGAATAGACAGCGTAAACCTTCATCCTTCACTGAAAATAACAAAACAATGGATGAGCAGTATATCATACAAAAAAAAACAAAAATCCTTTGTCGGAGTTATTGATGGATTATTATACAGAATAAGAAGTAAAACTGATAAAAACTTGTGACTAAGGCTCTGTTCGGAAAAAATTTAACCACATTAACACATATTTTTTATGTGAAATGAGATGTAGCACAGCAGCAGCACCTATAATTAAGCGAACCAATCTTACAAATGCGCCATGTGATTCGCAACATTGTAGGTCGTTTAATATCACTTCCAGCTACTTTCACACGATTCGGTACCATTTGCAATTGAGTTTTGACAACATCCAGCGGATAAGTTACTGCGGAAAAACAGCAAATCATCTTCAAGACATAAAAAGCTTAAAAAACTTGATTTGCCGTTCAATTGATTTTGAATGTTTCACTAACATCCATCCGTTCCATTCCTTCAATAAATTTATAGAAACCTTAACATTAATGGACTGTACCTTAAAAGCACGAATTTAAACACATTTTTGAATGCTCCCGAAAAAACCTACCACTTTCAGCAACGAATGAAGCACAACATGACAAAACATATCTGGAGCCAATATCGCGCATCGTTAACGATGAGCTTATTCGATGTGCGTCCGAATCCATTAGCCCAATTAGCTGTAAAGAAAGTCATAACATTCAACAATATTTCATCAATCATTACATTCACATCAATGGAATATAACTTCATCAATGATTTCAAATCGTTCTCCAGTGGCTACTTGTTTGCTCCAAACGTAATTAAAACAGTTAAATATTGATATGAAGTCACTTACAACATGCAACAAAATAAAACATCTGCATAGGTTGAAATGTCAAAAAACGCATGCTGTAATTCTACAACGATAAAGTGGAACATTTCAACCACAATATCTACGACGAAAACATTACAGATGCCTACATACCAATTATTCCCAACCCATCTTCGGTATAATTACAACCGGAATCAACAATGAGGTCATCACGCAACGTGTAGATCCCGTGTGAGTTTCTAGTCCACGCTAGATTGCGAATGATCCATTGCTCGTTTTGCTTCCTGGTCTAATTTCCCGCATAGTGATGGAACTCTTCCGGGATATATTTGATGACCCGTAACACCTCTGCCAGGACTTTTACTGGCAAAATCACGAAAAATGAAGAAGATGGAACGAATGCTAAAGATTATTTTTCGATAACTTGTATAACATTCCTATTACACATACTATGAACCTTCAGGTTTGATTTAATAACACTTCAAAATGAATTGAACCAAAAGCACCAAATCCAAACGACGAAAAGTACAGCTCATGAAAAAGTGATGCAGTAAGTAGTACATGTCAGAAAACGGAAGCAAATGAATTTATTTGAAAAAACATAAAGTTAAATAAAGCTACTAAAATTGGCATGCAGAAATGCATGCAGCATGTAAAGTTATTAAAATAGATTGCAATACATAAAACAAAAGACAAGTATCAAGTAGAATGTACAAAAAAAGCATACAATGAAAAAGGTTAATAAATGCAACAGGTAAAACTACAAGAAAAATGTATAGGAGCAATTACTGGTAGCAGAAATGAAACTAGCAGAAGTTTACAACATATAAAATAGGAAGAAAAATTAAACACCAGTGAAGATAAAACGAATTCACTAATTAATATTAACAAAAAGGTGTGCAATGTGATTAGCCAGAGTTATCAAGAAAAAAGCAGAAAAAAATGAAATTAATGACAGAGTATTAGAAAAGTAGGAAAAGTATGATGTAACAATTGATAACAGTGATAAGTAATCAGAAGATCATATGGAAAGGGAAGGTTAACAAAAAGCATACAATATAATAAACAGGAAAGTATGAAGAAAAGTAAAATAAGTGGAAAACTTACTTTCCTCCGACAAGAAACACGTAAGAAGTAATCACTCAAAATTAAAGCAAATTAGATTACGAGCTGAAAAAAAGATAAATTTTAAATAGATGAATTTAAAAAAGCTTGTTTAGTGTTTAAATAATGACATACCACCAATCGATGGCATGGATTTTAACAGCTGCACGCTTTCGTTCGGTAGGAGATTGTGGCGCAACTGATGTGCAGAAACCTGAAATGGTGCAATTAGTAAGTATGTTGATTTCTTAACAAAGATAATCCTTGATACAAAGGCAATATTTAAAAAAGAGCTACTAAGAATCATCGAGTATAATACATACTATATCGCCTGTATTTGCATGTATTCATTATCCTTTACTGTATCAAACTGCCTGTTGCAGACCTGCACGCTGAAAATTCGTGTCATTTGCAAATATAGCTACGTTTTATGAAAGATCTTGGACATAGATAATAATTTAATGATTGGTTATAAACGAATTATTAATACGAAAATAATGGATAATTTTGAACTGTGCTTCTGCAATTAATTTAAATTATGAAGGCGTTAGGTATATGACTGATCAAAGATATTAAAGCTGAGAATGATACCGTCCTCCTTGATTTCAATCGTCGCAGGTAGGCATCTCTACCTTGGCATTTCAACTCCTTTTGCGGTGTTCCTGAAGATGTTCTTGCCCACATTTAAAGAACGCCGGTATCCCCGCACTACTTTAGTAGCAGAAACCGAAATGGTTACCCTCCCCGATGTTCTAAAACACAATTGAATTAAGCATATGTTGATTAATTTCATAAAACAAAACTTCGCAGGGTCAAAGATAGGTACCTAACTCTGCTCCCGTTGGTTTTTCCTCTCCCTCATCATCATCTTCAGGCATAGGCCTATTCTACTTTATCTTCGTTAACTTCTAGCTTCTCCTATATTTGCTCGTTTACGTCTTCCCATTTTTGAATCACTTCTTCGACATTTCTCCCTTCACTCTTCTTCAGCCGCCTTTATGCTTCTCTTAAGTGAGCGCAGAGAAATTCATCAATCTGAAAAACAACTGTATTATTTTATATTTCAAAGAACGGCAAGAAATGAAGAACAACATGGAATTGTCATAAGGTTCACTTTAACATTTTCAATGTTATTTAAAAAACATTTTATTCTTCCATTGGTGTCTACCTAACAAAAGTTCATCAATCAATACTGTATGGAAAAATAGAAAAATCAGTTATGTAAAGGGAAAATTGAAAGAACAAAAAAAACTGAATAATCACTTGTACTACTTAGAATGCAAAGAACGCAAATGTTGTCGCATAAGAAGTTATTGCTCAATCAAAGATGAGTTCAGTATCCATAAGCGATTTCCAGGCGTTTACAAACGTTAACCGATCAATCAATCTACTTAACTCACCGATTAGATATTTAGTAATTGGTTCGGTAGTCATAAATTGCTTTGTAGGAAGATTAGAATAAACATGCTGATGAAAATTAAGGAATTTCTACAGGTAAATATAGGATCCGAATGATATCATTAATTAGCTTGCTTCACATTTTTTCTTGGATTCTTATAATTCAGTGATAGTTCAGTTAATTTTATTTTAATTTTTAGCAATATTAAGATAAAATACAAACGTGAGGCAGATAATCGAAATATTGTGCACTCATTGAAACAATCATCGAAAGTGATGGACAAAACAAAGGATTACGTAAAGTATTACAACCATTGTCATTATTTCCTATTTCGATTCATGTAATTATGACATTCGAAAGGTTGTATTTTTATTGATCGCAAAAAACTTATAGGAAATTGAATATCCATTGAAGACTGATATAGCATCGAATAACCTAAATTCTTCCATATGAATAAATCATAGATTTTTTTTTTTAATAAAAATCAAGTACTGAAAAATTATTGATTAATTAAAATTAAAAAAATAGAAATCAATAATTTAAAATAGAAAAAATCAAATACTGTCAATTACTTGCATTATTTTTACAAAATGCGGCATCACACTATCATTTATCATATGATATGATATCTATAAAATTTTATACATATCAATTTTTTCATTCATATAATTTTCTATAGGTTAGGGAAAATTTTCACTTTTCTCTTCGAAAATATGAACTGGTAAATATGAGAAAGTTTTCTCAGTTAAAGTTAATTTTAGAAAATGATAAGAGTATGATATTTTCGTTGATTGATTATTTTGTTCAATTCGATCTCATTGAAGTTTGCTTAATTTGATTTATGAGAAACGGAAGAAAACGATGATTTCTGACTGAATGGAAAATGCTTCCAATGGATCTTCCGTTAACCGGAATTCTCCCGGTTCAAAAAAAGGAACATTGTTACAAATACAAAATAGCCTGCGGAAACAAATGTATAATCTGTTACATTCCAGTTAGCACAACATATTGAGAACTATCAGAAATCAATAATCAATTAATTAGCTTATCATTCTCAAACGGATAATATTTTCTCCGGTAAATTGTTACGAGAGTACTTCTTTTTTCCTGAAACAAAAAAATAGCCGATTTTTGGCTTCAGATATTAGCCAATCAAATGAAGTAATAACAAAATAAAATTAATGAATCATTGAAATATTAATGACACATTAATGCATTATTCATAATTTTCAGCATAATGAATATTTTCACAAATATTTTTGGTTATTGTATTTAATTTATTATTAGAAAATAGTTAATTTGTCGATTTTTCCAAAACTTTGTTAATTATAGATCTCATTTATTATTTTATTGACAGCTAAAAATGAAAAATAAATAAATCACTTGTTTGTATCGAAAATTATCAGTACTTCAATTCCTGTTAAAAATTAAACTAAATGTCATTTATTTAAGTAAACAAATTTCTTTTCTTTTTTTTGCCGACTTTTTCTATTTTTAAAGTATGTTGCATTAGTAAATAAATATATTCCAAGTGTTATGCATACACTTAAAATGCCTTTTCAATTATCTGTTCTTGAAAACTTTAATTAATTAATTCATTAAATATTTTCATCTTCGCCTAAAATTTCATTTTTTTCAATCATTTTTATTTTATCAGACAAATATCATGAAAAATTTTTTAATTTTATAGTATATTCCGAATACAGTACAGTGAATATACATTACAGTAAGCATGTTAAATAAATACATTAAATAAATACAGTAAATACTTGAAATAAACATACTGTACACATTGTACAGTACATTTAAAAGTTATATATTGAAACGTTATATATTTAAAGTTATATATATATAGATAGGTACATATTGAAAATAAAATCATTTTAGATAAGTGTAATTGTTGTTTTGATTAATGAAATATATTAAATTCTTAATGATTTCTTTAATGTTATAATTTACCAGAGCTTATTTTGGATTTTTTAAATTATGATAAGTGCTTTTGATGTAAGCAATAGAGATTGAGAAGAATGCAATCATTTTATCTTATCATATTTTTCGTCTCTTATCTAACATCTTTATCACATTTTATTTACCAATCATTATTTATCTGTAGCATGCATTTATCGCTCTCGATAATTGCGAGTCTAAATCAATTTGCAACTTTTCAACTATGCAAACTTTAAAGAAGAAAAAATTTGAATTTCGAAAAGAAACTTTAACATTTATTTTTGAAGTTAAACTAGACTAAATCTCAGACGAACAAATTGCATCGTTTTGGAAACGAATAGAAAAACAAATGAAATATGATTGACAGACAGAAATGATAAATGGTATTATTGATAATAAATGTAACAGATGGATTAAATTTCTAGATTATTCTGCAGTAACTAATCTTATCAAGCATGTATCATTTTTTGTCGGCAATCATATTTCATTCATTTCTTTTATCTTATTTAAAAAAAAAAAAAGAAAACAGTTTTGTTGGTTTAATTTAAAACAAAAAAAAAATTTAATTTCGGCATTAAATGTTGAAATTTTCGAAATTTAAAATTTACCTTCTGAGGCTTACACGAAAAACAAAAGGATGAAAAAAAGCGAAATTCGAAACATTAAGTTTTATTAGTAGCAATTGTTTTGGTAAAAAAGCATGCAACATAAAATTTAATTTAGATTTTCATCAAAATTTTCAGTCTGTAAATTTCAAATAAAATTTTCTAGCATTTTAATTAAGCGTATTTTTTACAAATACATCATAAAATTGAAACCGGAAATGATTCAATAAAGCAAACTACGGAAATTCTTTTTTTCCCTCAAATGTTATCTTAAGTTTTCAGTTGATTTAAATTAATTTAAAACAATGAAAATGAGCTAAAGAAAAAATTCATCTCTATTGCATATGAATGATTTAAAAATTAGCTCATTTTTTCAAACTTAATATCATTGAATGTTATTTAACAATTTTTTTCTTCGAGATAATTTGTTACTTTATCAATTTGCAGAACTATTGATCGTATCACAATTTATGGCAATACAATCAATGATTAGCTAATTAAGCTGATGATGTGGAATTTTGAAAAACAACAATGAAATATATAATTAAATTCTAATGAATTATAGTGATTCATTTCTTTCTCATCTTTTGTCACTCTCTACTGTCAACTTGTTTTCCTTTCCATTTTACAGTTTTATTTATTTTACTTACAGTTCAGTTCCGATGTTTTACAATGTTTTACTTCATCATTTCTTCATAGCTAGCAAAAACAATGGCTATTAAATTTTTTAATTAAATTCATGCAATTAAATTTTTCAATTAAATTCAATTAAATGTTGGATGTATGTTTCCATAAATTTGCATGAAAAGATGGAGAGAACTTTGAAAGGAAAAGAAGGATAAACCGGTAATAACACCTAATAGCTGATTGAATTCTTTAAAAGTTATTTTAAAATAAAAGGGTGTAAATAAGGTATGAAATAAGAAGGGAAAAGAAAGATGAAAAAGAGAAAGACATGAAAAAGGCGAAGAGAAATGTAAATTTTGTAGAGGAAAAAACAATGTCATTACTTTAACTCTATGATAAATTTAAACATTACAGGAAGGCGGAGATTCAATATATATATACACATTGCTGACACCCTGTTTTTATCTTTCAACTTTTTCCTGCTTTTCTCGGTTCTCTTTTGTCATCATATAAAGTGTTGTAAAACAAATTTTCAGACAATCAAGATTTCCAGACAAAAGTTTGATCACATCATTTCTACTTGCAATTGTTAGATGAATGTGTCATCAAATTTAATTCTCTTTCTTATCAAGTTTGCTGAAACATTATGATGGATATTTTTAATTGTTAATGAGATAAATGAAATATAATCGTTGTTTAATTGAATTTATCATCAAAAAGTGGTAACAACAAATAGGTTGTAATTGAATTTTTAGTTAAATATACTTCAAATTTTTGAATTAAAAAAAAAACTTAATTACAACCTTTTCGTTTTAATTAATCAAAATTTCTAAAATGAACTGTTTAGCTTTGCTTCTTTTTCCAAACCATTGAGCTAGTGATATTAATAATATTTGTAAACAATTACTAATGTACTTTTTATTCCTTTTAATTTTAAAATTTTATATTGCTTATCAACAAATATCAGATAATAATTATTTACATCAATTTAATTTCTACTTTATTCGTATTGTTTGATGGTAAAATAATTTTTAAAATTATTGCAAATAATAAGGATAATAAATGATAATAAGTGCAAGCAATCAGAGCACACCTGATTGCTTGCACTTATTATCGTTTGCAAATAACATTCATAGTTTTCAACAACTTAAATTAAAAGCTTAGTCATATAGAAAGTTTAATCATTTAGGAAAAAATAAATTTTCATCTATTTGAAACATTCCTGTTTAGCTTCATGATAACTATTTTATAGTAACTATCATGAAATTTTCATATTAGTTAAATTTTAGTGATATGATTTAGCAACTTTAACAATAATAATAATTAATATTAATAATTAACTGATAATAATAATTGATAATAATAATAATTGACAATAATAATAATTGATAATAATGATTGATAATAATAATAATCGATAATAATAATAATAGCTGCTAACAATAATAATAATATTTTCTATTGATATTTTGCCGCTTGCATAATTTATCAAATATCATTTCAAAGAAATGCTACTTTGACAACTTTTTCGTTTATTACTTCACTTCATTTTTTTCTGCTTTATTTTTGAAATTTCCAACTTTTGAAAATTTCTCAAATAATTTTTTAATCAATCGATTATTGCTATAAGTTGGAAAATGAAAAAACACCTGAAAAAACACCTGGAGAAAATTCCGTTCTACTCATAAATTATCCATTTTAGCTATCAATAAATGCTTGAATTTTTAGGAAATTTCAAATTTACAATTTCATTTTTACTAAAATAATGTGCGCCATATGTTTATTGAAAGAAAAGAAGAAGGATTTTCGTATGATAATTTCATGTATTTGTAATTTTAGCGATAAATTAAAATAATTTTAGAATTCTTGAAAGCTAAAACTGATAATCTGTTTTATTCATTATCAACTGATAATCGAATCATTATGGGTGGTGTAAACAAAATGATGAATGATAATGCGGAAGATTGGTATAATATCCAATTAAAAACCATTGATATTGATAATTGCTTATCTCAATGTTCCTCCACCTTTAATATTGTAACAATTTCATCTAATTGTAACACATTTCAATATAAGTTAGTTTTCTTTATCATAAATTAATTTAATTATTTATATAAGATTATTTTTTTTTCTACAATAAAAGATCTACTTCCATTTTTTAAATTTATTTCTAAAAAAAAATTTGAAAATTATTTTCTAATTTCAGCAATTCCATAACATCATGTATTGGAAATGGTTCATTTGGTTTTGTTTATCGTGGTATAGAAATTAGCACTGGTAAACTGGTAGCAATTAAAAAGATGCCTAAAATTAGCGTAAAATCAGATGAGATAAAAATAATGAAAACATTAAAAAGTAATTATTTGGTTAGTCTCATTGATACATGCATTAAAAATGAGGAAGATTGCATTTATATTATTACCGAATTATGTGATATCGATTTGGATTGTCATCTTAAATATCATACTATTGATGGTACATTATCATCTTATAATTTAAGGTAAAATTTAATCTTTTTTTTTTTTACTTTAAAAATTTATAAATTATTAATTGATAAGTTGAAGAATGTTAAATGGTATTTCAAATTTGTACTTTTAATTAATATATTTTATGTAATTTTAGGCGGCTAATAGATAATATTATTCGTGGATATAATGTTATTTATAACTTTCATATTGTACATCGTGATATTAAACCGCAAAATATTTTGATCAAATATCGAGAGCAAAATTTGTTTGAAACAGCAAAAATTTCTGATTTTGGAATATCTCGAATTCCAAACGATAAAGATCATAAATTACTATCAAATGTTGCCGGTACACTGTATTATATGGCACCTGAAGTAGGCGCAAATATTTTGAGGAGACATGAGTATGGTCATGAAGTTGATATATGGAGTCTTGGATGTGTCTTTTATCAGTGTATTATGGGACAGGTATTATTAATTTATTATTGATTCATATACCAATAGTTGATTAAATCAGTCCTATTCTTGCTTTTTCTTTCCTTTCACCTAAAAATTTTGAAAAGTTAGAATTTATTAATGAATGGTAATTTTTATTAAAAAAAACATTTGAGCTAAACTTAATAGTGAGAGCATTTATTTGTAAACTTCTTACTTCTTCTAAATTCAATTTTTCGTAGGTACCATTTAATGAACAAGAATTATGCCGAATGTTTCTCTTCGTAGCATGTGATAACTATGATGCATATGATAAACCGGAATTATCATTCGATATCGATGAAAATATTGCTAGAATGGTAAATTCTCAATTGGAAATTGATAGCACTAAGCGAGCAACTCCACAACAATTGTATAATGAAATTTGCGAATGGGATTGTGATAGGCGATATAGTTATGATAGCTTATATGTGGATGATAGTTTAAGCTATCGAAGTAATTACAGTATCATAGAATTTGATGAAATCAATTAAAAGTTTGCATCATTTTAGTTTCGTGAGATCGTTTGATTGTATACAAATTTTTATCATTGACGTAGAACGCGTCCCTTTCTTTTTACTTTGTAATCATTTGAATTTTATTCGTATTACATCCTGAAACCTCTAATACTCTTCCGATTGTCTTCTTTCTCACTCATATTCTAATCATAAACTCGTATGGTACTTGATAAGCCATCGAATTCTTGTTTAACATATTCTCATATTTTTCTAAAATTTGAACCAATGATGTATATATTTCTTATTGGTACCCATTTTTGTTTAATGTTAATTATAATATTTATGTATAATATTAATTTTTGTATAATATATAATGTTTATTTTTCTTTCAGGTGAAAAAGTAATGAAACATATAAATACAATTTGGAATTCTGAATTCCTAATTAAATTAAAATTCACTAATTTTTTCTTATGGTAAATATTGACAGCGCATACTACCTATTTTTAATTAATTAAAATTTCTTAAAATACTACTTTTGTACATGTACCATGAGCTAACTACAAGTTGCAAACAAATATTACAAAGCAGAAAGTTTGCCTATTCTATTTTGTTTCGTTCACAAAAAGTGTACATTACGATTTCTACGTCTGTAAATATGTTCAGATAAGATCTCAGGTTATAAAAATTGAAACGAACAAAGAGAAAAATCAGAAAGTACCACAAAAGAAAATAATTTAAGAGTTGATTAAGAAGTCAATTTTGTTTTAAAAAAATAGTAGATTGTACAAAAATACATAATTCAATCTAGCTAGGAAATAATACATTGGCAATGATACTTTAAGCTTAAGTTTTAAGTATCAAACTCTTAACATAATATAACACAGATTCTTTCAACCACCATCAACATCAAGAACGACAAATGTTCTGCTGGCTTAAGACAGCAACAGAAATGGGAATTCGAACCATCATTACATCTGATAACAGCAGTAATTTGATAGTTATTGATATTTAGATCAGTCTCAATTCATTTCTATGGAAAAAAGCAAATCATTGAACACATCGAAAATCTTATCAAATATTTTCTGTACATTTCAAAATTAACTGACAAAGTTGAATATCATTGGAAAGAACTTTTTTGCGTTCAAAAATATAACTCAATGGTTAACTTCATTTAGTTGCATCGGCTTTCACCAATTCATTCCCAACTAACGATTTGTAAAAAAATTCATTTAAGATCAATTAGTAATTATGAGAAATGTCAACAAAAGGAAAAAGAAGCCTGTTAATAAAGGGTAGAAATAAACAGCTATCCATTTATGACTAGAAAATAATGAGATATGAGTAATACCATTGGCCAATTCAAATAATTCATTATTTAGTGATGCACTAAATTCATTTATCGCTAACTGGTATGTGCCTGAAACAGATATCGTGTTGATAGGAGGTGGAAAAGAGTAATTTTTGTTTCTTCTACAGAGAAAGTTAACCAATGGATTAAGGAGAATAATTTCAATAGTTACCGATAGATTAAGGAGAATAATTTCAATAGTTACCAATGGATTAAGGCGAATAATAATTAACAACCTGAGTTTTCTTTTTCTTTCATAAACTCAAAATTATGTGAAACAAAAAAAAAAACAATACTGCAAATCTATGCTATATAAGAAAGAATCCAACATTCGTCCATTAATTCAAAATATCCTTGTAATGAATGATATCAAAGGTTAAAAAACTTACGGAATATCTATCGTTTTCAATAAAGCATCCAACTTTCGCAAATTCTAAAAAATTACATTCGAAGAAATCGTACTTCTAAGGTTTCACTACAGGACTTCATATTTCTCATAACTATCAGCTTACTTGTTTAACGTATACACTTCAGCTTACATGAAAAATGAAATCCGCTTTTCAACAATGCTTTGCTTTCTGAGTGATTTACTTATTGTTACGAGTACCACAGAAAAAAAGGAAAAAAATCTCTCATAATTAGGAATATTCCGAAACTTATTAGTCAAAAAATGCAATGTCAAAATGACAATGAGACCAATTACCTTGGATGATTGCTCAATTGTTGAATCTAAAGAGGCGAAATTCTTGCTAGCCATTCCAAGAAGCTGAAAAGAATTGTTGCATATTCATGCAGAAAAAATTTTTAAAACCCTCAAATTATCCATGAAACAAGTAATCTGACAAACCTAATTCCTATCCAATTAATCATCCTACCGATTACTCATTAAAGTGATTAAGAGGATGAACATCATAGCATAAAATTAAGGACTACAAAAAAATGCTTGTGAAGCGTTAAAACAAATCAAGCTGCCACCATAGATAGCTTCATTAAAATCCTGATTTCATCCCATTTTATTTCAATTCACTTATTTCACCTAGCAACTGTTCCTAGTTCTAAGTTTGCCTGAGTTGGATGAATTCTGTTCACTTATGGATGAAAAAGATTTTGCTCAATTTTCTACAAATATGACAAAATACAAGCCTCATTTGAACGTGATGCAACCTGTATATGGGAAATAATCAAACCGCAATCCTGAATGCAATCCTGTATTTCGCCAGGTAAACGAGTACGACCTTCCAACGGTATATTACTGCCACTCATATTTTTCACATGTGCGGCTCACCTTAACCACCGAGCACATTTATATATTTGGCATTCACTATCCGGAATTGACACACATTTCTTTTAAAAACATTTCAATGGAAAATTGTTTACAACACCTCACGACGCTTCACTATAAGTTAAATTGAATAATTTTCCAAGTATTGAATAATAATAATACCCTTGTACCTAAAATGCCACCACACATAGTACCGCAATTCAAACATCCTAAATGAGAACTCCAAGATATATCTCCGTATTATCTCCCCTCGATAGCCGATTACATTATACATGCAAGCAGATGCTTTCGATTTAGCGAACTTCAACCTCTTCTGAGTACACCATTTCTACAGACTAATCATCTTTAATAGGCCAGAACAGTCGAACAACTTTGTGACAGAAAAACGAATCAATACCAGAGCACAGCTTCTTACCTACAGCCATATAAAAAATTTATCATAATTTCCCTTTCCTTCAATTTCTCTTTCCCAAAAATCTTATACAGAACGAGACACAGCATGCATGATTTATGTTTCAAATCAAATTCAACATCATCAACGAATATCGAAAAAATGTAAATCACCATTCCGCAAACATTCTCTTGAAATCTTTACCTCCCAATTCAAAAATTCATATCAAAAAAACAATCGGAGAATAGAATAACAGCAAATTATTGTAATGAAATTCTTGCCTATCACTTAACCAGTGTAACAAATCATATTTGCTTTTGAAAGAAATATCACAATAAGCCTTGTGAAACTAAATCATGAAAAGTGCACAACTACTACCATTTTCAAAAGTGTTTTAGCATTTTCGAAAATTCCAAATTTTCGTGCATGAGAATAAATTTCGGCTATGTTAAAAGTATAAAAATCACCGGCAGTTCTAATTGATGATAATGTTTAAGAAATGAAAAACAGGATCTAAAAGACATAAAAGCCAGACAAAACAAATCATATTTAAAAAACATGACTGTAATTTCCATACGTTAAACCGAAATCCCAAAAATTAGCAAAAACTTCAAGACCCGTAGTATGATGTGGACTTTTGCTAAATGAGAACCAGAAAACAAGGATAGAAAGGATCCTATGGGAAAATCCAAACTGCTTCCAAATCCAAGCAAAGCAATAAGCAAACACTCAGAAATATTTTAGAAAACAATGAACAAAAGAAAAAATGGAAAATATTTATGGATGAAACAGAAATGATAACGGAAAATTAACGCATAATTTCTATATTAAGCATTTGATGACATAATAAGATGATGAAACAAACAGCGAGATGCTAAAACAACAAGAGAAACAAGAAAAATAAACTGCTATTTCAGAATTGTTTCCTGTTTGGAAATTAGCACAAAACTGAAATTTCAATTTCACCGAGAGCATAGGAATAAAAAAGTACAAATCCACCGGCCTGAAATGAAAATGATGTATATTGGAATGATCGCAGATGGAACAATATATGGCATCATTTCAGGTCTCCTTATTTCCTTGAAAATTTGTTTTATATCATATCGAAGAGAATTTCCTCGAGTAATTTGGATACGAATTCAAATAAGAAAGATGGACCAGATGAATTACAGTTGACCCATTATAAAGCTAATAAATAGCTGAGACAAATGTCTGTCCCATACAGCATTTTCCGGCTAAAACAATAAGATAAATTTCAGATGTCCAGGAAAAATTATCCCGAAATAGGAATAGAATTTTAAAGAAACAAAAAAAGTACTAACAAAACCAACCAAATGAACTTCTAATGATAGAATGGATATATTAACAAAAAATATTTGCAAGGGGAGTGAAGTCTTGGATACCGGTCAAAAAGCATTCCCAAATAATGATAAAACATGGCAAATGCTTTAAGAAGAAAAAGAGACCAGAAACTGTGCAAAAAAGAAAAATGGATCTTTCTGAGTCAATAATAAGCGGTAAGAGAGACAAAAATACGAGGAACAATGAATAGACAATCAGCCAAAACAGGAGCAAGTCTCGTAACATCTCCACAGTAGAGCACTTAAAACTTCGGTTGAGAATAAGTTTGGTATATCAAAAAAGAAATCGACATTATACTGATTGCCTATCCTCAAATATATAACAATTTTTTTTTCTAAAATCTCTTCCAAATATCGTGATCATGAAAATGTATTCCGTAATCGAACCAGAAAAAAACGATCGTTTACTTCCAGAAACAGTTATACAGTTGTTGACCAATTATTACTACGGTATATGCCTGAAATACGCAAAGATAATAGTTCAATTTGAATCTTATATGTTACATAAATATAGCACTTGGGAACGGAACTATAATAAGACCCTTTCAAAGACATTAAATAACGGATTCGAAATATTTTCAAGTATTAAAAAACTCTCAGGTTATCACTTAAAGTTTCATTTACGTCTCGTAAATTCACTTATTCACTTCGCGGGCAGTTTCGTAGACGTCTAAAACAAGACTCACAATTTTGTGTATAAAGTTTTTGGGAACATATACCGTTCTGCGGAATATTAATAAGGAAAGAATAGTTAAAAGAAACACATAACAATGCATTAAAATGCTTCGAATAAATGGATGTGCGTAAACGTAAAGGAGAAGAATGAAACCAACACCATTACAACTCCCTTAAATTTAAAAAAAAAAGCTGATAAAGCAGTGAGCATTAACAATACCAGCGTAAAAGACGAAATGCAGATCCAAGAGCATTTTTTAAAAATTCACTTCTTTTTCCTCCCGAACGAGAATAAACCCCTTTTCTTCTTTTTACTTTCCTTCGACTGATTCAGCTGCAAAATTTAACTTAATATCATGATACCACATCGTTTACTGGACATAATGTCATTAAAATTAATTTCTCATATATTGCATGCTAGAAATCTAGATTTGACTAAATATATCACTGCTATGGATAACAAAATTAATAGCTCCCACAACAAATTCTTTTTTCTCATATGTATGATAGTGCTGTGTTCATGACATGATGCGCTTTACTTATTTTTCAAAATATAACACCTCACCTCGTCATCAGATAGAGTCATTTCTGAATTTCGTACTGCGGTATCATTTCCTGAAAGTCCAACAATGTTTGTTGATTGGCAGCTTTATGTTGCAGTAATATGCAGATACAACGCATACCCATGTAATTCCAAAATTCAAGGATTATTTAGGGTCACAGGTAAATGTGATATAAAATTCAGGAAGGACATGCAAATATGTGTATACATGTCGAAAGAGTGTACAAAATGATCAAATAGATATGATTTGCATACAGGTAACATATCTAATTATATTGAGTGCAAAGAATTATATGGTTTAGACCAACCAGAAAAGAAAGGAAAAAAGAAAGAAACTCGAAAAAAACGTACTTTTAAAAAACAAATTTTTACGCAATGAAGCAAAACGATCGGATTTACTACGTGCGAACTTCGCTCCTGAAGGCAATGTCTCTGGTCGCTCCAGCAGTACCGCTTCACCATCAGGTGAATAACCGCGCGACGAGCGACCCAAAATAAAAACAAACAAAGTATCATGCGATCACAATACAAATAATATTTACGAGCAGCATAGGATGTAAGATCAGTTCGCCAATCAAATCTTGATTCTTCCCATTTATATCAAAAAACTTAGTTGAAAAACTCCCTCTTTCAAACTCCTTTTAAGCTTTCCTGAATTTTGATCAGCATCATGACTCTTCAGAAGTCCTGATTCCTTCTTTTCCCTTGTTCCAAAATTTAACAAATGAAAACTCCAATACCGCTAACATGTTTCGAACTACTGACATTTTCGCTTACCAGGAGAAAAACAATCATGCAAAGTGCAATTTCATGCAATATATATATAAATTCTCAAAAATCATTAGGAAGATAACTTCCGCAAAACGGCACGTTTTGTAAATTATTCATAAATAGCTTCACATCAACTTATTTTTGATAATGAAACCTTCATCTTTACGCTAAATCCAAAGCACTTGCGTCCAAAACGAAAAAGTACAAAACATCATAGTTACCTTGCACTTCTTCTAATAATGCTGATATTACCTTATCTACACTTTTAAAAACCACAAAAAAATGCTGGAAAGAAGCGACAAACAAGCACTGACGATAAGGTAGAGTTGAAGATACAAAGGGCGAACTGCGTACAAAACGACTCTGTGGTGAATCAGACTCATCGAAAGTGGTTTCCAATGTGAGACGACCAACTGCAACCTCATTAAAGTCACCAAATGGTATTTTCTTAGTAAAAATGTATTAGTAAGAGGACAAATATTTTCAAAGAAATAACAAAAATGTACATCCCACCCGCATCTTTCCAAAACATGCTAAATTTTCAAAGATCTATAATTTCCTATAATGAATAGCGTCATACCAAGTTACGCATACCCGGGCAATGTCATGTAAGAATCGAATTTAATAACTGCAATCAGTTTGAAACTGTTACTTTCGTCCTTTCCAGTATCATTCAATAATGCTATCCACTATCACCAACATCAAAAAGATACGTCATTACTAAAATAATATTTACACAAAAAGATACGATCTTCACTGCACTGTTCTCAGAGAAAAGCACACAATTATGTAATCATGCTCCCAAGCACAATCCATGAAACATGCACGATCCAGTCCCCATAAAACGACTAACCTCGGCCAGCAGAAGCCTGTGTAACAGGAGACGAATGAATACCAACAGATACTTCTGTAGCAGCTCCCTCCTCATCAATCGAAGCAGAACCCATGCCACTAAATGTAGGACGTGTGCGGTGTTCTCGAGCTGCTTGCATCAAGGATATCGTTTCTGAAAGAGTAGCTCATTAAAACGGAAATCATTGAATCTGTACCCAACTAGAAGTAATGAAGACTAAAATGAGCAAGCTCGTTAAACTGAAACGTAAATAATGTCACAGATGTTTGCCTGACAAAAGCTGGACCAGATATGATAACGCTTTTTTGAATAAGTTGAGCATTCCGACTTTAAATAGATTTAATACATATCAGGGACAACAGTAAAATAAGGCGTACCGACAGATGGACTATCGTTTTCATATAACGGTGGGCTGGATGTCGTATGTTCAGTACTATCGGCAACAGAGCTTGGTCTTGGAGTTTTTGCTTCAACTTCCTTCATATACTTCTGAATATCTTCGTCTGTTTCACTAGCGAACGGATTCGGCGCATACAGCTGTCGGTAAACCTGCAAAAACAGTAAATGCAGAATGGAAATTGAAGCAACTTGACTAGATCATTAATGCACGCGAATGATTAAGTTGATGAGCTTGATAAGCTATGCTCAATCCATTAATACATTAGATAAGCCTCCAGTTTTTAACACACATCCCACTAATTTTTTTACTACCATCAACTACAAAACATTTTCCAGATAAAATTTCAAAAAGATACCTGTGCATTGTGCTGGTGCTGCCGATCAATTATACCTTTGCTGGCAGTACCGATCATAACCACACGATCCGCCTGACCCATATCACTGATTTCTGCATCCTATATTACAAGATCACCTATTTACTTCATGAAAATTGTTTCAGAGACTCAAAACGTTTAATGTATATATATATATAGTAGATTTTCGAAATATGACAAATTTTAGAACAAATTTAAGTAGTTATAAAAAATATACCGCCCGTATTTGTGCAATCTCTTCATATGTAACTCCATCCAAAATTTGGGATTGTGGGCCTGCTGAAGTTGTTCCCAACCGACGATTTTCTTTGATTGCTTTCTGCTTTTCTTTGAATTCCTTTGGATTTGCAGAGAAAGGACTGAACTGATGTGGTGAAGAGATCTTCACTGGTGTTCCGCTTTGAGACGGTGAACTGACATCTTGTACCCACTGAAACGTTTATTTCGAATTTTCTTTTTAACCAATCGAAATGTAAAAAAAGAAAATATGCCAACTAACGAAAACGAGAAACTGAGATATTATACCAAGTAACGATTGTCCGCATAAATAATCTGGTACAGATATCACATCGCTCGAGTTTAGTCAAAATAAACAAATAGTTTTATTCATTTACTCAGTAAACCCGAAAATACGCATGGGTAACGAAAAATCAAAAAATAAAAAACATGGAACTCGAAAACCGAAATGTATAAAGACACCTTAGTAATCCGCTTCGGATTATTGGTCCCTGTTTCCAAAATTTCGATTTTCTGATATGCATTCGGGGAATTCAACCATCGAGACCGTTCCTGTTCCTTACGCAACAGAGCCATCTTATGCGCTGTCATCGATTCATAGTCAGATTCATCCACCTTAAATACACAACGCACTTGTGTAAGACAAAAAATTCCGGAATAATCAGCAATTATTGACTTAGGCTACAAGAATAAGTGGTAAATAAAACATACCTCAATCATTCAACCCTTCTCTCTCAATAAAGGTTCGGGTATATCGGATTCGACTAAACATCCGCAGAATCCGTAAAAACAAATATGAACATCTATGAGTTTTATTTAATTCCATATTTCATAATCCAGAATAATCAAATAAAAAGATACTTAATCAAATCATAACCATGTGATAACACGTACGGATAAATAACACCCGTATAAATTTTATACGGAAACCATAGGTTGAGCTAAAATATTAAAAAAAGAAATCTGTCTTACGGTGCCAATTGACGAAGCGCTAGGTGGAACAGCAACATCGTTTTGATTATTTGTCGATGAAGGAAGTGTCCTCGCACGCAAAAGTGGTTGTCGATAAATATGACCCGTTCGATAGCCCTGAAAACAATGAAATACGACATGAATGAAAGAAATGCTTTAAATACCATTAAATTGAGGAATCTGAAAGCTTCCCAGTTATGATAACGTCAATGAAAACATGAGAATTTGTTTTCCATCACCACAATTTCAAATTTACTGCATACAAAGGGCACCTACCGCGTTGTCAAGTACACGCATCCATGCTTCCCATTCCAACTCACCAATCCTCCAGTTAATTTGCTTCCCTTCCGCATCTTTTGCACCAATGACACCACCACCACCTGAATGTAAATCTTATGTAAACCTTCTAACACTAAATTTGACGAATTAAGAAGCGAAATCCGTAAAGAAATATTCACCGCTTTTCCGTGCTGTCATATACACTCTTTCAATGGCTTTTCCATCAGGTATTACGAGATTTTCGATACCAGCCCTTGCAGCTCTGATCTAAAATGAAATTTTAACATATTACTAGACTTCTTTCGTCTAAAATAATCAATATCAGATAGGATTAAATGGTAAGGTGTAAGCAAACCACACAGAATTTATAAAGATGAAAAATTTAACAATATAAGAGCCAATTAATTGAACAAATTGAGTAGTAAAGAATGAAAAAAACATTCAAGTAAACATAGAAATACTATAACTAGATAACGAAATTAAATGGTATCATACAATTTCCACTAACAACAGAGAATGAATTAAAACTAAACTTGTATAATAGTCTCATTAAAGTTAGAAATCTCAGAATGATAAAAAATATAATGTAAACCATACAATCTCACAAACAAATCATGAATTGCAGATATTTCAAAAACCCAATACCAGCCCTCTATTTACAGATACGACGATTTACATCTTTAACCATCTGATAAGAAATTGTTTGAACCTGATGATCGCAAGCTGCAACCAAGTTTCTTATCACATATATTGCTTCTTCCACCGTTTCACAACACACCAAGTATCCATTTGTACGTAGTATGAAAACCTGAAGTGCATCACTGCGAAATCTATACAACTCGATGGTTGAAAATCTTACGATCAAGGACATGAATTTTGCTAACAAATGATCCTGAAGTATTCATATCTCGAGCTATGTGACAATACGTTAACATTTTATCCTTACTTTACAATGTAAATCAAACAAGGAACGTAAAAATGAATTTCTATCTGAATTAAGAGTAATAAGGGTGCATTACGAACACTGAGAAGTAGGAGCACTTCTACCCAAGTTTTGAACACACTAAAATCTCCAGTATAAAAAACATGCACTGTCAAGCCGACACAATAGCTTTTCAGTGCCACTACTATTGAGTGTAACAACAACACCAAAAATAAACATTTCAAAAAAGTTAATACCAAAAATAATCCTTAAGTCGTCAGTGAAGAGAAGAAAAATTTTCAAATTTCATTTAAGTGTTAATAATTCGCTCGAGATACCGTTAAAGATAAAACAGAACATCCATGACAAAATAACAGTAAATACGACGAGCACGGCAAAAAATTCTAAAACGGAAACATGGCATGCATTTTGATGTTTATATTAATTTTTTTCCGAATAAGACTAGTTCGCTAATCAGTCTTCCCATGTGGTTTGCAAACACATTTCCATCATATATAGATAGTAGTTATTACCACCCGAATTTTGAAAGAAAAACCAATTAAAATGTCTGTTCCAGTATTTTCTTTCGTATACTAACTTCAAAGGAAAAAATTCTAAGTGATGGAATAATTATCAATTTTAGGTTGATACTATAGAAAGCGATAAACCATTTCAGTGCAAAAAATGTGTGTTTAAATGACAACTACTATTATACCATTCTTATAAAAAACACAAAAAGCCACGCATGCCTGAGTTTCACAAGCGATGACCGTATTGAAAGCAAGATGGAGAGCATCCTCAACAGATTCACCACATGCTACAAATCCGTGATTCCGCAATAACATCACCTAAAACTTCACATCGAGCATTTCACGCAAATAAGCAAGCGATTCATTCGGATTATTCCAACAAAAGAAAAGAAGATGCAAACACACGCTTCAATAACACAGCTATCCTGGCATAACTAAGAGATTGAGATTTCGTCTGATTTAATTTGAATTATTTCGCATAAATTTGCAACCAAGTATTCTTACATGCTTAAGTGTCTCAATGATAAAAAGTAAATGATACATGTTGTTTTGCAACCATGTGCGATAGCATGCATTATTTATCCAATACAATCAAATAATGATTCGCTTTGCTAAAATCACCTACATAACTTCTGCAAGCTGGGATCTAAATGAGATTTACCTAAAGCACAGAACTCGGAGAGACATGTCCCGACCAAGAAGAGTTTCACCAATATTTAAAACGAAGTGCCAAAGATTGGGCGATTTTGATCAATACTTTCCATATTAATCTCTTGTTCATCGGAAGAAAAAAACAACAAAATTTTGAAAAACTTACATTTTTATCGCCGAGATCTTTGACGATTGATTCCATTTCGGACTCATCATCTATTATACCCTAAAAATTTGTTTTAGCAAAATATGCTTCATGCAGCAGATGCAAAATAGCTAAATAGGGCACTAAAGGAGTCTTTTTTAACCAAAAATTTTTGAATAAAAATGAATCAATCATCGTATTTGAATTATCCAGAACAAATTTAAAACAATAGCATACCTGGTAGTCATGATAGCCTACAGGACCAATGATCATTGCTTCCTGGGAGAGTGGCAGAAGACCGCATTTCATCGATGAAATCGCAGAAACAACAGCAGTATGCATGTGCAAGACGCATCTCACGTCGGGACGTGCTTTGTGAATTGCTGCATGCAAAACATAACCTGCCTAACAACAATTAATTATTTGTCAGTTAAGTCCAAACAAAATAGCTAATGACTGAAATGATAATTGAGCAATGAGAACATACACAATTATGACATTTACCTGATTGATTCCTAGTTTGGTGGAACCACGATCAATGATTTCACCATTAATATTGATTTTTATCAGCGAACTGGCCGTAATTTCATGATACAACAATCCGAATGGATTAATTAATAGTTCGTCTGAATCTGGCAACTTCAGCTAAACAACATGAGATATTATTACCATTAATGAATGATATGCTAATATGCGCTGTATAATCTTTATAAAAAAAATAATCGGTAAGGTAACCAACAATTTGCGTACTTATTCTAGAAAGGCTTAAAATTTATAAAAAAATATTGGATTTCAAAGATCTAACTCCATAAATAATACTTGAAGTATGCATTTGTTGTTTCCTAAATATAATATCAAAAAGAAGGAAGAACACTAATTCTTACCGTGATATGGTTATAAATTCCCTGTGACCACTGGAAAAGATCCACTAGACGATATAGTGAAGCTAATTTATTCCTGAACAATTTTTCAGTCAGCGTGTAACTACCACTTCCTTTGAGATCGGCAATGGGTAATACAGCTCCACCTCCTTATAAATTGACCACTTTATATGAAGGAACGATACGGGATCATTCAAATACAAAGCAGTGAAAATAAAATTCTATCACTATTTTAAAACTAAATTTTGATAACATAGGTTTCGCACTTGAGCATGAATAGAGTACCCCTGTTTCGACGTTTGTTAATGATAATAATTTAGTTTTCCCTTTGTCACTACAAAAAAGATCATAATTTGCAGGACTTACCAATGTTATGAAGACTGGACGCCGCAATTTGGCCCTGCGGAAGGGTAAATTCAGAAAGCCGCTGCAAAGTTTTCAAATGATCCGGATCACTTTTATGGTTTTCACTCTCCTGCTTGATTAGTTCCTCCAACTCTCTGCAGAAACTTTTCGATTCCAACACTTCTTGTACCCGTTTTCGCCTTTCCATTTCGGATAAATCTTCCTGCAAGAATATTTCATTGCTTAAGCAACACGAGCATTAGCACTGTAAACTCATAGAAAGATGAAAACGTGCCCACACACAGAAGAAAACAAGTAATACACACATGACCACGAAAACAGGTATACTTCAGAGACATCATCAGATTTAAATTTTACGAAACGCTATTTGTCTCTTATAAACGACAAACAATTTCAACAAATCTAATAATCAATGCTACGAGAAAAGTAACCTTGATGGCTGCTGGCCTTTGCAATTCCTTGATATATTCCGGATCTTCCCGATCGAAATTAATAAATGAACGTTCAGTCGTTCCATTTGGTTCGCCATTCGTCTTGCTAGGCATAATGCCTGAAGAAAAGAAGGTAGAGATTAGAGTATTCTAAACCAAAATTCAGCAACACATATTTTATCCACAGTGAAAAATACAGCTACACATAATATCCGTTGTAAATCCGAACTAAAATGTTACTGAAATCTGACTTATCAACTTCCAATCGACCGATCCACTAATTATAGTTGTAGAACATATATTTAGTCCGTGGTCCATGAAAAGTTTTAGCAAAATGTATCCTAAACCCGATTACTGAATAACTGAACTAAAGCCACTCTGCAGACGCTATCATTCTCTACCACATCCTCAAGCACCATGCTTTTTTCTTTGCCTTAATAACTGATAAAATGTTCTAAGTAATATGATATTTTGATAATCTTTCTGTTCTCTTATTTATTTGTCCTTAATTTACAATTACGACTTTCTCAAATTTTATCAATCGTTCCGGAAATAGTCATTTTGCAGTCGAAAATATTTGTCAACTTTTGTTTACTTATCCGGATGTTTTGTTTTTGATTGTGAGTGAGATGTTTACTAGAGCAGAGTATTAATAAACAACAATACTTTCACTGGGAAATGGTTATGTTTTCTTGTGCACTGAGAATACTAACTACAAGTGAATTAGGCTTAAAAAAACATTGGAAATTTCTTAGGATCTGTAATCAAATTCATCTGGTAATAGCGGAAATCTATAGTTAAGTACCATTGTGGGTCCTTCTGAACTATTCATTTGATCGAACGGTATTTTACGTACAATTTCGAGTCTAAGAATTAGGTGACAAAATATTCCTTACATTCCAGGTGTTCCGTTAAGAGTTACGAGAAATTATTTGGTGATAACTAGAACTTTGAATCACATTAGCAATATTTTTTATCCCTAACAATACCATGATGTAAACATGCGGTAGAGAATATACCACATAGCAGTTTGATACTAATATTTTACAAATTGGGAAGAGCTCTTCAGGGAATTCATCATAATATACTCGTAATTGTCTAACTATTGATTCATCCTTATCGCATAGATTATCACTCTATTCTATTGCGAATAACAATTTTTGATTGTTGCATCACTCCGAGCCATATACATTACAGCCAGTAGTAATTTTTAGTTCAAATTATTAACATACCAAGTTTTATATGGGTTAATTGAGAGATTCTGATCATCCTACAACTTCAACATACTATTTTGTCTAACTGATATCCGGAAAAACTCAAGCCTTTTTGAATAGGTCTAATATAGTACTCTATCCACGAAATGAAAAGGTACGAAGTGTTGAATTCAATCAAAATAACGAATGGGATTTGTAAAATAGAATGTTGAAGAATACGAAAAAAAATGAAAGTGATGGATTGGAACGTCAAGCTCTCTGAAATTTACAGAATTAAACAAACGTTGGTGACAGCATCTTTGCAAACAGATGAATTAACTACAGATGCTATTCATATTCAATAAAAAAAAACAGGTGTATTCTTAAACAACAATTTGAAATATTTCAAAACAAACAAATTTATTGATTGTAACGAAAAGTTAGAAAAAAGATTGGAAATTGGAAAACCAGAATTTGATAACCTTGCTAAATGATAATTAATAGAAATGAAGGAATTAGTTGATCGGCCAACGTAAAGGCTTATATGTGTTCATGATTAAGGTGATAAATTTGACTAAATATAATCAATCAACAAGATACACGAACCTAACTTATGTAAAATCGATCTGCAACCAATTTTTTAAGAGTATGAAAAATATCGTAATCAAATATTCTAGCTATCTTATAATACTCTTAATCCAATAAAGTCAGTAGTTCAATTAGACGATAGAAATGTTCTTAGATATATTATTTATTTCAAAATGAAAATTTCTCATTTTTTTAAAAAAGAAAACAAAATTTTAAGTATCCAAAAAAAATACAGATAATTGAAACATTCTCTTTCATAATCGTTATCAGCGATATCAAATGATCGTTCATACATATGGATAATTGAAAACAATGCCAACTAAACGATCCATAACAACTTTTTGCAAGTATTGAAATATGAAACTTGTTCACTTTGCTTGAATTATGCTAAAAATTATTACACTAAAATTATTTGAATGTAAATTTCTTGGAGTTTGATCTGTTAAAACTATTACGCTCTAAAATAATTTTTATTTTGTTTTCCAAGCAATAATTAAACATTGTCTTTTACTTCATCCAATAAATCATACGTTGATAATTTACCTTTTCTTATTTTGTTTTCATCATTTCTTTTAAAGATTCGAAAAAAAATCAATTAAGAAAAAAAGGAACACAAACAAATCTCTAATATTGATTATCGTACTACACTGATAATGTTAAAATACTTATCACTTCATCTTTTATCATTAATTATTAATCATACTTCATTTTTAGCATTCATATTTATAATGAATAGCATTTTCAGTGATTGTAAATATATGATTAATACGACAAAAAATTGCACACATGCGAAATATTTAAATATGCTGTAAGTACGACGACGATACATTCATTCGTTACTTATTTGATCATATCATACATGCAAAATATTTATATATGCTGTATGATAGCGACGATATATTGCTTATTTGATTGTATCTTAAAATAAATTAATTGAAGTAAAATGAAGGCTATAAAATTAAGAAAAGTTGTTTAGGTAGTAATTTTCAGGAGAAGCAATAAAGGTAAGCTTAGCTTATGCATTGCAACATATTGCATATATAAATAAAAATCATTATCAAAATAGTTCGTTTAAAATGACACACCTTAGCAAATAGAAATAAAGAGAAAGAGACAAAAAAAATGAGGTATGACAAGAGGTGACAAAATGGTGTAAAGCCTTTCAAATTAAAGCAAATATCGTCAAAGCATAATATTATGAGCTTTAAGCATTAAGCAGACATAAATTTGAAGGAACAGATAGAAAAGGGTATATATCATTGGAATAATTCCATAATTTCTTAATGTAATAATGTTCATGAAATAATCAGTTCACAAAATTATCACCAATAATCATTCAGGTAGAAATTGTTTACCAATTCAAACTTGATTATGATTTTTTTTTTAATGATAAGTTGAAAAGTTAGTAAATATTCAAAAAAATATTGAAAAATTTTTAATCGTTGTGTTTTATTCAAAAAAAAATTACAGACAACATTAATAATACTTTTGCCTAACTTTTCCTTATACCCATTTATCATGTGGTAAAATGAATTTCAAACAAATGAAATTACTAAAGGTGATCGGTTTTTTAACTTCATCAACTTTAAATATCATGAAATTTGTCGTAAGCTATTTAATAAGATAAATAGATGGGGAAAAAAAAAGAAAGAGAAGAAAATGAAATATTCGAACAAATCTAATCACTCAATTAAGTATCTCCGAAATGATACAACAAATATAAATTATCTCAGATATATTTTCAACAATAATCAAACCGTTATCACTTGATCGAATCAACTTAAATGACATTCATTCAAACAATTGAAATTACAACATTGTCAACGAAAATCATTTAATTATTGTTGCAAAACTGTAATACATTGAATAATATTTTACTAGACTAAAATTCTCCTGATAATTCTCAAAAATATGCAATGGTACTAATTCAAAAAAAGAGCGTGAAATTTTAAGTATCCAAGAAAATATCAAATTTGTTAGATATTAGATTTTTCTCTTTCATCTATTTCTATAAATTCTACCGTTGCTTTTCTTCTTTAATTTTTAAATTAGTTAATAAAAGAAAAAGAGAAAATTTTAGTCGAAATAAATTGATTGAAATTTGAAGTTATCTTCTTTTTTTGCAAACAATATAAGAAACTTTTCTAATTAAGGATGTTGAAAGACAATTGCATTAAATTAATTCTATTACGATATTTTACATGAAAATATGTAGAAGGAAAATTTAAAATTTAAAACGAAAATGGAAAAAACGTAGAGAGAAGAACATTTAGTTAATTACCATTACTTCTCTCTCTCTCTCTTTTCATCTCTCTACCTCCTTCTCTCTCTCTCTCTCTCTTTCAGTTTCACTGATAATAAATAACCGATCAAAGTTGAACAGAAATGCTATGTAGTTTTGGACAGCTGCTGCAAAAATAAACGATTTGGTCCCAAATGATAAACAAATTCAAAATGTACACAATAAATAGACGTTCTATTTAACTATTGAATATTCAAATTAGGTGACCGAAAAAATTTTTGAATTCAAATTTTAACAATGATAAATTTGGTGAGAAAATGTAATTAAAAATTTAGGATACTAATGTAGGCAATAATAGAAATATGGATGAATTTTTCTAGGAGTTTTAAAACGTCAAAAAAATATATATGAGATATTTCGTTAATTGATATTTTGCTTTTTAAAATAATCGGTATGGCTATTTAACATTCAATTGATTTAAAATAATCGACATGGTAATTAAACATTCAATTGTTTTAACATAATCGATATGGTAATTTAACATTTTTAAATTAGCGAAAAAAGACGGGGGATAAAATGATTTGCTATTAAATTTATGAGAGAGATAATAGGTCCATCAACTTTTCATTAGTTGTTTAACTTTGAAAGAAATAATAGGCCTATCAGCTTTTCATTCGTTGTTTAACTTTCTTCCTCATTAATTTCTTTATTTATTACCTTTTCAAATTGATTTTAATCATCCCGAACTCTTAACATTATACAATTTCAAGTGGAAAATGAAATAAAAAGCTGTTAGCGAAATTACGAATGAAATGATTGTTCGATAATAGCATCATCAATTTTTATTGATATGAAAGCTGGCATTTGAATTTCAATCAATGTCAGGTTTACCACAAGGAATGAAATAATAATAATAAAATAATAAAAATAATTAATAACAACAATAATAAATAATAGTGATAACAATTGATAATAATGATAATAATTAGTAGTAATAATGACAAATTAATAGTAATTAAAAGCAATTAGTGATAATTAATTTAAAATAGTCGCCTAAAAAATAATTAATTAATAAAAAATAATTAACTAAT